GCTACAGTACTCTTAACAACTCCCCCGGTGCTCCTAACTCCCAATCTGGGCAGAGTCAGCTAGTGGTAATAGAACCGCTAGCTGCATGGCTAACTGAGTTGACTAATGGCAACTACAGTGAGCAGCATTTAGCAGTTACTGTGGCAAAAAATAAAGCTATCTGTTCCATCAGGAAACTACATACAGTGGGTACGGAAAGTATTCAGACCCCTTTAAATTTTTCACTCTTTGTTTCATTGCAGCCATTTTCCAAAAATCAAAAAAGTTCATTTTATTTCTCAGTAATGTACACTCAGCACCCCATCTTGACAGAAAAAAACGGAAATGTAGAAATTTTTGCAAAGTTATTAAAAAAGAAAAACTGAAATATCACATGGTCATAAGTATTCAGACCCTTTGCCGTGACACTCATATTTAACTCAGGTGCTGTCTATTTCTTCTGATCATCCTTGAGATGGTTCTACACCTTCATTTGAGTCCAGCTGTGTTTGATTATACTGATTGGACTTGATTAGGAAAGCCACACACCTGTCTATATAAGACCTTACAGCTCACAGTGCATGTCAGAGCAAATGAGAATCATGAGGTCAAAGGAACTGCCTGAAGAGCTCAGAGACAGAATTGTGGCAAGGCACAGATCTGGCCAAGGTTACAAAAAAATTCTGCTGCACTTAAGGTTCCTAAGAGCACAGTGGCCTCCATAATCCTCAAATGGAAGACGTTTGGGACGACCAGAACCCTTTCTAGAGCTGGCCGTCCGGCCAAACTGAGCTATCGGGGGAGAAGAGCCTTGGTGAGAGAGGTAAAGAAGAACCCAAAGGTCACTGTGGCTGAGCTCCAGAGATGCAGTCGGGAGATGGGAGAAAGTTGTAGTAAGTCAACCATCACTGCAGCAATCCACCAGTCGGGGCTTTATGGCAGAGTGGCCCGACGGAAGCCTCTCCTCAGTGCAAGACACATGAAAGCCCGCATGGAGTTTGCTAAAAAACACCTGAAGGACTCCAAGATGGTGATAAATAAGATCCTCTGGTCTGATGAGACCAAGATAGAACTTTCTGGCCTTAATTCTAAGCGGTATGTGTGGAGAAAACCAGGCACTGCTCATCACCTGTCCAATACAGTCTCAACAGTGAAGCATGGTGGTGGCAGCATCATGCTGTGGGGGTGTTTTTCAGCTGCAGGGACAGGACGACTGGTTGCAATCGAGGGAAAGATGAATGTGGCCAAGGACAGGGATATCCTGGACGAAAACCTTTTCCAGAGTGCTCTGGACCTCAGACTGGGCTGAAGGTTTACCTTCCAGCAAGACAATGACCCTAAGCACACCGCTAAAATAACGAAGAAGTGGCTTCACAACAACTCCGTGGCTGTTCTTGAATGGCCCAGCATCTCTGGAGAGACCTGAAAATGGCTGTCCACCAACGTTTACCATGCAACCTGACAGAACTGGAGAGGATCTGCAAGGAGGAATGGCAGAGGATACCCAAATCCAGATGTGAAAAACTTGTTGCATCTTTCCCAAAACGACTCATGGCTGTATTAGATCAAAAGGGTGCTTCTACTAAATATTGAGCAAAGGGTCTGAATACTTATGACCATGTGATATTTCAGTTTTTCTTTTTTAATAAATTTGCAAAAATTTCTACATTTCTGTTTTTTTTTTGTCAAGATGGGGTGCTGAGTGTACATTACTGAGAAATAAAATGAACTTTTTAGATTTTTGGAAAATGGCTGCAATGAAACAAAGAGTGAAAAATTTAAAGGGGTCTGAATACTTTCCGTACCCACTGTAAATCACAGAGTTGAGACCAAGCAGCTGGAGGACATCAGACAGCATGTTTTGTGAATAAGCAATCCACAAGAATCCATTTAGATCCTGCAAATATGAATGCAATTTTACAGAATTAGACAATTAGAATTAAAATGTGAACAAACCATTTACAAGAAATTAAAGTAAACTCAATCGACCTGCTGTAGCCAAGCCTGAGCTCAAACCTTCCTCCTGGTCCACATTGACTTAAACTGGGTGCTCACCTGACCATAATCAAACACATTAAGGGACATTGCTGCAGAGGGGATTGTTATCAGGTTTTGTGTCTTCGCCTTGGACCGACAACATCTCATGTTTTAATTTTGTTTTGAAGAAGGAAGCTGCGCTCTGCTGCCACACTGGAGACAGGCCACAGTTTTGAAGTCAGGGAACATTTCTCCCCAGGGAAGTGATCAGAAGATAAATAACGGTGCCAGCTCAACATTGTGATGCCTGTCAGCCATCGTCGATGGCCGATGGCCTCGTCTATCTGCCAAACTCTAGAGGAAATATTAATATTTTCTTTTTGGAACATGACATTCATGCGGTTCATCGCAGCCAAGACGTCAGTCAGAAAGTAAGTCAAGGCAGGGAACATGTACCTTTGGAGGCGCTTTCTAATTAAACTGGGCAGTCTTTCACAGCTTCCTCCCCTACAAACTCCAACATCAGAGAAACCCAACTGGCACGTAAGCCCTTAACGGCTCTCTCCAGCGACAGCCAATGGTTGTGTAGCTGATGGTTGTTTAAGGCTCAGCAGGTCGTGTTCCTCCATTTGGTTTAGTCGGTGTGTTCAAATGGGGGAATTGTGTGCAGTGAATGTTTACGAGGTAGGGACGTTTGTGCAACTCCAGCCTTTCGACCCACCATCACACTTGCTCCATCTCTTCCCAGGACACATCGACCTCAGCGATAGCAACACCATGGCCTGATAGTACATCTTTTATTTTTTCTGTCATGCACTCTGCAGTGCCAGAAAGTTTTACATAATTGCCAATGAACACAATTTCAGGCACATAAAAAGGCCAACTATGATCTCTCTCCCTCCCAGATAGATAGATATAGAGATAGAGAGACAGGTAAAGACAGAAAGAAAGAAAGAGATCAAGAGAGAGAGAGTGAGAAAAAACATTCAGGTTATAAAAATGTTGACAAAAGGGAGACAGAATAGCAGTGGTGGGTACAGAGAAGCAGGTCAGCTGAAGTCTGCAGCTTATTGCACATGAAGTGTGCGTGCTAAATGGGAATGCTTCATCCAAGCTAAATATTGCCTTAAGCTCAGGTCTTACACATGAGATAAAAACGTCATTAGAGTCATCGCTGGGCAAAAACTGACACAGTGGGGAAAAGGAGACGAAAATTTGCCGTCCTTTTCCTGCCACCTTTGGAAATCCCTCTGTCAGCAGCCTGCAGATGAAATAACACACTCCAAGCAGCGACTTGCTCAAATGGGTGGGCTGGGCTCAATGTAAACACTCAAAAACTCAGCCTCCCTCTCTGCTCATTACACACACACACTCAGGCAATAGAAATGACTGCAACCTGGTTACTCTGTTTCACATCTGGGTAGACAAGGATGATGATGTACACATACAAAAGAAACACAAAGAAACAGCCATAATGAACAGCTGCAAATACTACACACGCTTCAACACTTTAAAGATAGAAAATGAGGGGGTTTGCTTTACCGTCTTCAGACACCAACCAGAGGCTTGGTCTGCTGCCTGTCAGATTCAAACAATATTTTAAGTTTAATTTTTACCATGACATGGGTTGATCGTTCAAAGAAAAATCCATCCTTAGACCTGAAAAACTGGTTCCTGTCTAATGAAGGCCAGGGTCAGACTGAGCAAACTAGCCAAGAAATGTTTAACTCATACAGTTTGGTGGAAAGGAAGACAAATATTGACTGTACGACAGGAAGAGGTGGAGGAAGAAAGACGGAGCTAAAAAACAAACACAAAAACAAGACACAGATTCGTTTGTGTTACCAAAGGTAAACATTCAAAGGCTTTGGCAGAGTTGCTTGTGGAACAGTTCTGCAAAAATAAGTGTACTGACTTCAACTGAAAGTGTGAAAGATTAACTGTATACTCTGTGAGGGCGTGGGGGCATGGCAACAAGCTGGGTGGAGAGCCCCCCTCCCCCAGCTGTCATTGTTCTGCTCCATCTCAGGTGACATGTAAATGAGCTGGTGTGCTGATTTAGAACACATGCACCCAGACCTAGCAGTGTTCAGACTGACATCAGCACTATGTGAACAAAAAACACAGCCACTTTAAGAGACTACTGTGTGCTGGGGACTGCTGCAAAGTAACGTATGGTGAACCTGGCTTAACTTCGCTCTACATTGCATGTCACTGGCTGATCAAAATACCTCCAAGCACACACATTCCTGGTACAGTACTTTGTAAGGTGAGAAAGTGAATAATTCTACTGTTTCCCCCTCAGTCGTTAAGATGGAGGCTCAAATGATAACTAGTGATAACTTTCCAGTTGTAAAATCCTTCTTCATAGTATACACTGCAGTATTTGTGGGTCTGAAAGTTTTCAATACTGATACCTTGACTTTGATACCGGTTACTTTTTTTGATACCAACTTTATAAAATCCATTTTAACAAACTAAATGATACATTTTGGTACAATTACTCACTTCAAAAGAAAGAAGCAGTTAAAAAAAACTGGGAGTAGCTGGAGAAACTGTTTTTTGTCTTTCTCTTTGCTAAAGAGCATGTGCAGCTCTAACAACCATCCACCGTGATAAAATTAGGAGTATTTCTCTACGTTTACCAAGGGCAATACAGTTTTTCTCTAATGCTAAAACACAAAAGCCAATCCTCTAAACCAAATGACCAGTTGTCTAAACACATTTACTAAATCTAGCCATCATTTTCCAATATCATAAACACATTTCACATGAAGACACAATTCACAAAACACAATCCTCCGTTCACATAAATCTTAACACATTTTTCCTTGCTAAAACACAAGTTGCAAAAGAACTCTGCTCATATTCTCAAATGAAAGCTCATGTGATGCAAAATGCTTGCCACAGTCAGCAATATTTGAACAAAATGAACACACCTGGCGTCATTCATTACACACAACGACTCAAAATTGAAAACACCTGTTGCAAATGCTGTGACCACATGTATAAAAGCAAGTTCAGAGTGCACAGTTTGCTGAAGATTCCAAACAAACACAATGGATGAAGGCAGAGTCAGGGGAAGAGGTAATCGAGTCAGAGGAGGAAGAGGAGCAGGCCAGGGAGGAAGAGGAGCAGGCCAAGGAAGAAGAGGAGGAGGCCAACAAGGGAGAGGAGAAGGTCCAGGAGGGAGAGCAAGACAACCTCGCACCATCATTACGGACGAGATGCGAGCAACAGTCATTGACCATGTCATTGTCCATGGCATGACAATGGCTGAAGCAGGACTAAGAGTCCGTCCAAACCTGAGTAGGTTCACCGTGGCCACCATTATCAGGGCATTCAGACAACACAACAGGTATTGTACTCTATTGCTTTCTTTGTCACAATACAATTTTACAAGCCTGTGAAAGTAGTCTATTAGTTTCAAATCAGTTGTTACTGTATTGTAAAACATGTCAATTGACAACACGTTTCTTTCTTTAGAGTTGAAAGAATGCCACATAGAGGTGGGAGGATTGCCATATTTACAGCGGCACAAGAAACCCTCATTGTGGATATGGTTCGTGAGAACAACCTCATCAGACTCCGGGAGATCAGAGACAAAGTCATTGCCGATAATGTGAACTTTGAGGGCATTGATGATGTCAGCTTGGCCACAATAGACCGAGTTCTCCGGCGCCAAAAGATGCGGATGAAACAAGTCTATAGGGTTCCCTTTGAGCGAAACTCTGCACGACACAAAGACCTACGTTACGAGTATGTGCAAGTAAGTATAGATCCATGTTCACAGTACAGTTAGTGAACATACTGTGTTGCTCAGTGGCCTACATTACTTCTGGACAATACTATGCTACCTGATTGACTGTTGTTCTGAACACCTGTGCACTTTCACATTTTCACAGAGGATATTACAGTTGGACGCGATGGCCAGACCTCATGAGTACCTCTTCCTGGATGAGGCTGGCTTCAACCTGCAGAAACGAAGGCAAAGAGGCCGTAACATCATTGGCCAAAGCTAAAAGATATCCTCCTGGACCGCCAACAACACCATCCTGGGCCCGAACATCCCATTTATGTGATCATTTGGGACAATGTACGCTTCCACAGAACAAACCAAATCAGAGAGTGGTTCACCACTAACAGTAACCACTTTTTAAACGTCTGTCTGCCACCCTACTCCCCTTTCCTGAACCCTATAGAGGAGTTCTTCTCATCGTGGAGATGGAAGGTTTATGACAGACAACCATACACTAGAGAGAACCTCCTAAGGGCAATGGAGCTGGCGTGTGTTGACATCCCAGTGGAGAACTTCCAAGGATCGATCCGCCATTCCAGGGCGTTTTTCCCGTGGTGCCTGGCAAGAGACAATATAGCCTGCGATGTGGATGAGGTGATGTGGCCCGATGCAGCTCAGCGACATGATGCCGCACAGTGATTGTGGTGTAAATAAAATAAATAAAAAAAACTTCACACCCTGATCATGTTTTCAAGAGTACTGTTGTGTGCAATAGATTCTGTTTTTGCATTGAGTTGTGTTACAGTAGTGTACAGAATTTACTATAGATTTATACTCTTCATATGAAACTCACAAATCTAAATGCCCAATCCTCTGCAGAGATCTAAGAAGATCCATTATTGTAAAGTTTCTAAAAATATACATTGGCAGTTATAAAACAAAGAACCTTCTCACAAATTGAGCATTGTGTTTTCAATTGTTTTGCTGTAGTGTGTAATGATGTGTATAGTGTTTACATTTTTGAAAGCTTCGAGCTGCTCTTTTGGTGTGAAAGTTTGAGTTTTGAAGGGAGAAGGTGTGGTTGTGTTTATGTAGCTTTAGAAAAGGGTGTTGTGTTTAGACATTGGAGAACATGGACGAAACGTTTGTGAAATGTGTTTTAGCATTTGAGAAAAACTGTAATAATCGCAATATCATTTTCCTCAATAACAACATAACAAATGTTCAATATATCGTCAATAAATGTTTGATTCAATTCATTAGAATCACAAACAAATTAGCACTTCATTTTTCTTTTAAGATATTTATTTTGTTGAGGAAAAGGGACTGAAAAAAGATTTACTAATCATATTTTTTGAAAACAGATTTTATCATAATAGTTTTGAATGTTCTACCTCAGATCCACTATTTGGCATCAAGTGTTTGTCACGTTCTGACCATAAAGAAAAGTTTAACCACACAATTAACCATTTGGTTTCTTAAATTTTCAATCAGCCTTTAAACTTAAAGAAATAATGATTTCACATTTATTGTGATAATTATCAATATTGAGTGGCATGAATTCTTTTTTAGCGTGATAACATTTATGGTCATATCGCCCAGGCCTACGTTTACCTGTCGGTCTGACTGTGTTTTCGTTTTAAAACGGAGACCTTTTGCTACATTTGCACCGCCTGTCCAGACTAAAACGGCAAAATCGAAGACCTAAAACGGAGAAGTTTGAAAACGTTGCCAACCCCGTTTTTTGTTTTAAAACTCCAGGTAGTGTTTTAGTGGGGACGGGCAAAATAAGAGGACTCAGCAGGGCTCTACGGTGCGACCAATTTGCATGCATATGCCCCTAAACATCAATACGTGCGAACCGGAAAAATTACTTACTGAATGATTAACTACAACTTATTGAAATCCCCCCCTACCCCTCCCGCCATGCTGCTAATCATTCAAAAACATCCCTCCCCTAGTAGTGGGCAGAACACGACACAAAGCTGGTGTCAGTCAAATGAGAGTTGTCGAAACTGGCAGGACAAAAGCCAGCTAGCCACCGGAGCACCGAGAGAGATCCCGGTGGGCGGGTCACTCGTTGGCCGCTTGTGCAGCTCGTTACAAAAACAAAGACAGAGATGTCAGCAGCTGGAGCGGTGAAACAGAAGACAGTATGGAGAAGGTAAGGAGGTTTTGGGTTTGGCTAGCTGGATATTTAGCCATATCAGGTGCCCTTTGTTGAAACATGTTCAACTTTTCATAAAACTGATGTGCTCGCCACTGTCACTTTTTGTCAACTGACCAATCACAGCATGGATGGACATAAAAATGGTTAGACGTCCTACAGTAAACTTTCAAACGTTGAACTTCTCCTTCATGAATGGTTCTGATTGTTGCTGAGTTAGTAGCATTAACAAATTAAGAGACCAATGTAGGCCATTTTTCTTTTAATTTTACTTTTAATGAATAAAAACAACTCACAAATACGAAACTGCTAGCCTCCTCCTGAGAGTAACACGTTCCACTGGTTCTATTTTTCATCTGATTACTAAAGTTATTGTCATACTATTGAGTATTCTTGATTTACATTAGGTGTGGCATGGGTTTTGTGAGAGCTGATGGTGTATCGCAAGTTTTTTGTGATGAGTGATCAGTGTTTTAAAAGCTGTTTTCAATGTGTCAAATTTTCAAAACATCCGTTTCAATATTTTAAAACGCTTTAAAAAGATTTTAAGGCCAATGCCAAGTGTCCAGAAACAAGGGTCTTCACTGCCAGGGCTCCAGTGGTTTCACCACTGGGTAATCCATCCCCACAGTGGCGAGGAGAGGATGCACTGGGGATCATACAGGTTAGCTGTACTAACTAGCTAACAAGCAGCACAAAGTTAACTCATCTGCGCAGATGAGCAGCTGGTGGTAAAAAAACAAAACAGTGAGCACGGCCTCTGGGCATCAGTGTTTTTTTTATACTGGCTCACTGACACTGATGAGATTTACTCCTTGGTACCGATTGAGAAGGCATTTTTTAATATTCAAGAAATATGGTTCCCAGCCCTACTGGGGTGTCTCATTAAAATGGATGAACATCCACTAGGAGCAACACCTTGAATGCATCAAGTATCAAGAATTCAGTGATAAAAATTCTGCTCTTTGTGGAATGCTGAGGAATCTTCAGACATTCAGCGGTTAAAGAAGTCAGTCTTAGTTTAAATATAAATTGCTGTTGATACTGACAAAGCCTTCCCACAATAATTACCAATGTTTGCATGAAAAGCCAGACGCGACTCAGCATCTGACAGCCATATTAAATCATATCATCTGATTAAAGCTGGAATGTTGCATATCAGACAGACCACTCTTGAGGCCGACATCTCTGGCCGCCTGAACATGTTGCTTGTGGAGACAAAATACTCAGAATCTGACTCTTGCTGTAGTTAATTAACTTATCACATTCCACCAAATGGCAGACTGGTGTGCTCCACCTTGGCAATGGGCTGGAAACCTGACTCACATTCTTGCCATGACAGAAAGCCCCGAGGCCTCATACCTGATGTAGTCTGAGAGAATGCACCAAGCGCCCGGGGAATGCTGGCCACGCCTGCTTCCAAGGTTTGCCTGATGGCCAATGCACCCCCACCTATACCTGGCCATGCCCCAGTCAGGGCTAAAAAGAATCCTCCTAACCACTTCAAAGCCCAAAGACCTGGCTAGACTTTATTCAAAGTCTTGGCAAAACCTTCAAGCTTAAAGTGGCAGGGTTGAGATAAGAATGGCAATGAGACAAAGGCACTTCCAGGATTTTTTTTTATTTTAATCGCTTGCTGTTTGGTAGATTTATAAATGACAGATAAAATGAGGGGGGGAGTAAATTGAAAGGGTGAGCTAACGAGGTCCATATGGGTTCTGGTGGATGAGCTAAGTGCGCCATGTTTGCAAATCAAAGACAGCAGGCTGGCACGAGATAAAGAGCCACTGGCCTTCTCTCTAACCCTGCTTTCATTACTTCTCATTTGCCTTCAGAGGAGCGAGGGATTGTATTTTAGGCAGCTGTAAACCCTGAAATGCCTCCACATTCTTCATTCTGCATGCAGACTAATCTGTTCGCTCTTTTCTGTTTCTAATCTGCTTGTCTCATTTAAGGCTGACTGTAAACCACGTTCCTCTAACAGAGGGGGTAAGAAATCAGAGCAGGCTTGATTTCCTTGATCCAGCATTTGGTCTCTGATTACATGAACAGGCCTTGTTCAGCCATAAGGGAGCCATATAACAACAGTTGTTACAGTTCCTCAGTGAGGTAGGCCTATTAGAAGAAGATACACGCTCAGCGCTGGGAGTTGCCAAGGGGAAAGCTAGCCTGGAATGTAGCGCAAAGTTTAGAAATTTCAATTCACCGACAGCAATCCAAAACGTACCAGGATCAAGGCTGGTGATTGCTATGAAGGTTGAGTAGAGGCCAGATTCAGATCTTAAGCAGCCCTTAGTGAAACAAGGCCAACATTTTGGATGGGTAGTCCTCTCCAATGAACTTGTCAGACAGTCATAACTTCTGCTAAGAAGTCTGTAAATTTCATAGTGCACCACTTAAAGAATCCCTTCTCAAGCGACATAATTAGGTTACTGTAACATGTGATCAGTTTAACTACATTATAAGTAACGCATGTTAGGCAGCTAGGTCAAATGTCTATACCATTGCATCACGGGTTACTCTCATGTGCCAAAACAATCCAAAAGCAAAATGTTTCATTATGCTGTGGTTATGACAGTATTAGCCTTGCTAATATTATCTAAGCATACTGACAATGGAACAATCAAGGGCTAATGCTAAATTTAAGGTGGCACTGAGAAGCTCAACTTACGTTGTAGGCCAATTGTTGGCAAAAAATGGTAATATTAGTAAAGTCAGACGAGTAGTCCCAGAGTCCCTAATGTCAGTAACTTGTATAAACAAGTGGAATTTCGAACATAAGTGCGCTAGCTAACATTACACTAAAATTAATTACTAAAATTAAGTTAACACCTAACTCGTTATATCCAATCTGTGATGGCTAGCATTTGCTAAATCAAAACAACTTAACCATATTATTGAGGCACAATGACATCCAAAGTCAATACAAAGACACAAATTAAGGGAAAAGAATAGACAGAGTTGAAAAATATGTGTGTGACAAAGGGCTTTGTTGGAGTGTCATGTGGGGAGGACTGGGCAGAGTGGAGGACCAGAGCCGATGATTTCTATTTAATATATTTTCTCCTTTCTCTTGTTGTCTTGATTTCCTTTTTCTACATGCTTCATACACTCGTACATTGTCATTGCAACACATCCTTTCATTTGCACAATGACATGCCTACAAACTGAGTACTACCCTCACCTGCAATTATCAAATAATAAACATTAACTGTAAACATATGCACACTTCAACCAATGTAATGGTCTAGTTTTCTTTTTTTTGTGTAGCCACCAACATACATTTATTCACTGATGCATTGATGTCCATAAAAAAGGTTTTCTTTTCTTTATAATTAGGGATGTTCTGAGCCAATCCTAAGGATCGATGTCGGGGCCAATCCGCACATATATTTATGGATCAGTATTGGCTAGATTAGAGCCACTAAAGATCTGATTCTTTCTTTACTATACTCTACTGTGGTCTGTAAACTCAGCCTCCTCCTGTTGAAGCAAGCTGCGTGTGAATGTGAAAAATCTGATTGCACCGGGAATCGACTCTTGATCTGACAATGCTGTGGCACCAAGGCAGTTTG